CATGATATTTTTTGCTGGCCCACCTGGTACTCCCCATTCTTTAAGATCTTCTTGACTTGACTGAAGCAAGGCTGAACCATTAACTTCTTCATTACGAAGAGCTTGTAAAGTTTTTTCCGTAAGATTTATGTGTTCACTTAAACATTTGATCAAACTGTCAGTAGTATCTAACTTATTTATTTGTTCAATGGTAGGGAGGGAAGTACTTGCAGAGGTATCCATGTTTATTTGTGTTTAGTTAAAAAATTTTTTTTAGTAAGTCGTACATCTCCCCTTTTTATAGTTTATACAAACAATCAGATTGTCGTACAACAGATCACACATGCATAATTTCTTAATCTCCGAATTTTTTCTATCTGATCATCCTTGATAATACATTCTGTCAAAACAATACCTGCGACATAACAATAGTCGAAATTTTAATAAATCGAGAAGTCAGGGTCATAGCCTCGCATATGGAATTTCGATTATACAAATGAATCTTTATTTGTTAACAAATTTATTAACTGATCTATTTTTCCAGACAGATAACATGACCTATTATACCGACAATGAACAAACGAAGTGGATGCACTGCATGAAATAATGAAAACTCTCAAGTAAAAAATCACGCTTTCATCAGACAGACTTGGGTCAATGTTTAACCGACGGATGTGCATCAATATCTACGTGGCTGTAATATTACGTGTAAACATGCACATGATTATATGAAATGAGACAGAATGGGAAATTGAAATCGGGAGTAAAGCTTTGAATCTAATGATGTATCTAAACGCTTCTCGAAAATGGCATTATTACCGAATGGTTCTGTTGAACAGATTTTTACGCATAATGAACTTGATGAATTACGTATGCAGAATTTATTCTGTCACATGTTAATTAATTTTATTACTTTACGTAGTTATTCGAGGTTCTTTTTTTAAAATTATCACATTCATACCGCTTATATATTCCATCAGCTACTTTTTTGCATGTTTTGCAATATAGGTGTGAATAATGATTACATTCGTCACAAACCTTACACCCGTGCTTCCATCCTCTAAAGATATGCCACTTTCTGGACTTAAGTCCAGCTTTTTTTATTTGTATATGCAGGTATGCTATTCTGATCTTTTATTGACGTGCTATTTTTTTTATACAATACAAACCTGTAATATGTGGCAATTATGTCCTCGCCTATATGCATAAACCTTAGGTCAAGATCCGTACATGTTGATTGAATACCTAATCGCTATATTTAACAATATTACAGTATTGGTATGTATAAACTTTATTATGAATTAAATTATATACTGTAATTATACTTATATATGATTTAATAAAAAATATTTATATCACGTTGGCGTCAACTTGGAGGACGCGATCTGCACTAATTAAAATGCTTTATAATATTATAAATTTGTGTAGAATTGAGCTTTGAAATATAATCAATTTTTTCAATTCCTATCCCCTTAACTATTTTTTTAATATCGGGGTCATAACTTTCTCCAAACAACTTGTAGATATTTCTAGCCTTTGCAGTTTTTTTACGCAAACTATCTCTTGTAAATCTCAGAAGATTGGTTGCGACTTCGCCATATACTAACCCTCTAGCTTGTTGGTCATTGTACTTACTGTTATCATTTTTTATTTCTTTAACTCTTTCTTCGAATTTTTCAGCAAAGAGATACCAGCATCTTATTTCTTCTTGGTAGGCACGAGTTACACGTTTTTCTGCCGGCTTGCATTATAGTATAATTGGAGTAAAGTTTTTGGCTTTGATTCCTTGCTCTTATTTTCTCTATCATTATCATCAATCGGCTCACTTGGCATAGATAGTTCTTTTATTAAACCTTGTACTTTATCAGGTTCCATGGATTTTGTTTCACTTCGTGGGATAGCTTTACCATCATCTACGGATAACTTACTTACCGCCCCCGTTAGATTAGAGGTTTCTTCACCTTCATCTTCCACTACCTCTGACATATCTATATTCTGAACTTCAGCTGATGCCGTTCCTTCATTATCTACGAAACAAATGGGACAAGTTTTTTGCTTATCTCTATTACTTCTTTCAAGACAGTCGTGATGGAGTATATGACCACACACGAGCGTGGTAAATGCTTTGGGTGGATTTAACAAAATTTCTTCATTACATTCATGACAATTCTCTAGCTCCGGTATTGTGATATTACTTGCGAGAGAGTTTGGATGACCTTTTAAGATATTTATTCCTAAGGCTTTTAATAATTCTGCTCGTTTGGGGTATTTTTTGGTAAGTTCTCCTTCGCTAAGTGGTTCGTTACTCATAGTATAGGTTACGATGAGTTGGTTAATGATGAAAATTTTTCTTATCATTTCATACTTACCTGACTATATATTATTTTTTTACTACCCGGAATTATTTGATAGCTAAAAAATAAACAGATATAATATCTAAATCAATACATTTACCCGAACTTTAACCAGATAAGTCTTTGAAATTTATTATTCATTTATTCTGTTTTATAATATATTTCCGTATTAACAAACCAATTTGCGGATTTTATGAAATCTCATTTCGGATTTGGCGATCCGTTCATTCATGAATTAATTAGTATGAGCCAGGAGAGTCAAAGTCTCGATCTAAAGGATCATCGCTCGATCTTCGCTAGCAAAAAATTTAGCTTAAGGGTAAGTGTGGTTAGCAATCGAACACTCCCACTATGGTACCTTTGCATTTATTACGAAGCTATCTCCCGTGCATATGTGTGCTTATATTTATTTGGATTAAGCAATTGCAAGTATTGAGTCGGGTTATCGATAAACTTACCTGATATTTTATGCCTGTTGTTCCTCAATTTAGCCATACTAACCTATTTACAGTTTCGCATTAAAAGAAAGTGGCAAAGTTTAGGTGATACTGAACTAATAGACTTTCAAATTCACAAAAATCCATCATTCGATCTAGTGTTGGGGCAAGATTGGTTATGGATGCATAGAGCAAAAATGAGCTTTGGATTTTCTTCTG